GGGGGGGGGGGGGGAGCGAGAGAGATACCGAATAAACTGTCTAATATTGGCGGGGCGAGAGAGAGATACCGAATAAACTGTCTAATATCGGGGAGGTGGGGGAGAGAGATACCGAATAAACTGTCTAATATCAGGGAAGGGGAGAGATACTGAATAAACTGTCTAATATCGGGGAGGTGGGGGAGAGAGATACTGAATAAACTGTCTAATATCAGGGAAGGGGAGAGATACTGAATAAACTGTCTAATATCGGGGAGGTGGGGGAGAGAGATACTGAATAAACTGTCTAATATCAGGGAAGGGGAGAGATACTGAATAAACTGTCTAATATCGGGGAGGTGGGGGAGAGAGATACTGAATAAACTGTCTAATATCTGGGAGGGGGGAGAGAGAGATACTGAATAAACTGTCTAATATCGGGGAGTGGGGAGAGAGAGATACTGAATAAACTGTCTAATATCGGGGAGTGGGGAGAGAGAGATACTGAATAAACTGTCTAATATCGGGGAGGGGGGGGAGAGAGATACCGAATAAACTGTCTAATATCGGGGGGGGGGGGGAGAGAGATACTGAATAAACTGTCTAATATTGGCAGTGGGTTTGATTCCAGCTTTTGGTGTCTGTTTGTGCAGATTGTCTGTTCTCCCCGAGTCTGTATGGGTTGCCGTATGGTTTCCTCCCACAGTCCAACAATGTGGAGGTTAGGGTGGGTTGGCTGTGGGGAAATTGCCCTGTCATGGCAAGGGATGTGCCAGCTCAGTGATGGGCCACAGGAAGTGCAGGGGTATGCAGATGTGTGGTAGTTCTGTGTGGGATGCTGGTTGAAATGTTGCTGTAGACCCGATGGGCCGCTTTCTGAACTGGAGGGATTGTATGATTCGAGAAAATAACTCGACAGTCTGATATCATAGAGAGAGGAACAAAACTGTATTAAGTAATATAGAGAGTAGTTAAGCTGTCATGTAATAGTAGGACTAATTAAACCGTATGATATAGTGGGAGTAATTAAACTGTATAATGAATTATAAACTACGCATGCAGACCAGAGGGAGCGACTGGGCTGTACAGTTTAATCTGGGAGGGAGCAACTGGACTGTACTGTGTAATCGGGGAGGGAGCGACTGGGCTGTACTGTGTAATCGGGGAGGGAGCGACTGTACTGTACTGTGTAATCGGGGAGGGAGCGACTGGGCTGTACTGTGTAATCCGGGGGGAGCGACTGGGCTGTACTGTGTAATCCGGGGGGAGCGACTGG